CTACTCATGGAGGAGGAGGAGTTGGAAGTACTACTACTACGGCAGCGGCGAGGGCATTGGTGGCTATGATTTGCTGCATTATGATGGTGACCGTTGAGGCCCAGGATTCCAGAGGAACATCAACTACGATTCAAGTCGACTGGGACCTGGCGGGGATCATGATGATGTTGTTGATGACACTAGGCGCGTTGGTGCTCTGGGAAGCCTTCAAGTGGGGAGTTCTAGTGGTTTATCAGGAGTGGACTCCAGGAGCTTCAGCCCGGAAGATAAAGAGGTTGAAGAAACTACGAGATGCTACAGCAATGGCTATCGAGCGGGAGCTGACTCGCATTTCCGAGCGTGAGTCTACAGGGAGACCGCAGTCGAGTCCGGTGCTTTCAGAGTCTACAGTGGCTGGAACGGGAGCAGCGAGTACTCAGATAATGGAACCTGAAGGGAGACCAAGAACCCCCTCGCCACCGCCTACGACACGGAGATCAACGCCGGAGCAAGTGTTGACCGCTTGGAGGCCATATTCTACGCAGAGACCAAGTACGCCTCCGATACCGCCTATGTCACCGCGATTTACGACATCGGATATGTCACCACAGAGATCATCCAATGAGTGGTCAGTAACAATGCAATCTCCACCTCCACCACAGGAAATGGAGAGGGTGTGTGTTGATACAGTGATGCTTATGAGATGCGAGGAGATAGAGAAAGCTCTTAGGTTTTCTGGCCTGCCAACATCAGGACTAAAGGAAGACATGGCTAGACGATTGGGTCGTGAGCTGGCTGAAATGGTGCAGGACCAGGGTCCTACAGTGCGACAATTGAAGTATCTACTGTGGCTGTGGAGAAGCAAGGATCTGTCCGGAAGGGTCCTACTTACTTGGGAAGAGCTACGAGGACGGGTACAAGCTTCTCAAACAATACATCGCTGGAAGATGCTCTGAAGTTTGAGCACAGACCTCCTGACGGTGTCTGTGAGGAGGAGTGTAAAAGAGAGCCCTTCCAGGATGA